GCATTTGAAAACTGATAGCACACCGGTCATCAATATCATTGTAAAATGCCTGTGTTAACCTTATATATGAAGTTATGAATTCCATCTGTACCATGTTACGGTTAAGACCGATGTTTAAGACCAGACAGCCTAACCTAGGTAAGAGTGACAAACGGGTCTGTCCTATACAAAAGAATGTGGGTTTACCTACATTTACATATTAGCCGTAAACAAAGCTACCACACGAAGGGCTTGTCTACCCTACAGGGTATGGCGGTATAAGGTGTGGCACTCTGAGGTGTGAATAAGCCACCGCCCTGAGTGACATATGTTACACCAACTTAAGCGCCAGTGTGGACAGTGCTAGGTCGGCAGGAGCGCTTCTTCCACTGACATAGCTACCACCTCTCGCGGAGGTGGTTTTATTATGCTGATGGGAGAGCTCTCTCCTGTTGGCATAGTGTGTGTCCACCAGATACGCCACAGCTGTAGCGCTTCTCAGGTAGACGAGCCCTAAAACAACAGCCCAAACTTGAGAGATTCAGAATTAATGTGGCTCCTGCACCCCAGAGAGACACACATGAGACTGAATCCCCAGAAGGCCTTCTTGACTTTGGGAACATAGCCAGTTCCTTGGGAATAAAAGGGCCATCTTGATCTTTCACCTAACAAGACAAGGGAAACCAGCACCTCATACTTCTGTGAAAGGTCCTGACTGAGAGACGCTCAGCCGTCATGGACAATGAATAATTGGAGGGAGAAGCCATCTTAAACAAAAAGTGTAACTGGCGAGATTAAGTTTTAGCCTTTTAGATGAGTGTTTTCACTTTTATTTGCTAGGAGCCATCTCTACCTCTGTTCTTTTATTTAGCATCACTTAACCTATGTCCTGTTGTTCATCAATTTGTTCTAATTTAATCTAAACCACCCCAGTGCAATGTTGGGAAAGGACAGGAGGGGAAGATAACACGTCTTTACACAAAGAGTATCCCTTGGATCCCCACATTCCTTATGCAGCTGCAACGCTTATCAATCCTTAACAAGCAGAAGGGAACTTTATGGCCGGATGACACTTTATCAAGTGAAGGAACAGTGCATGCTTGTGCCTACTCCCTAATACTATGCCAGCACACCAGTGGTTTCCCAGGTCTCTACTTAACCCTTACATACCCCAACAGGTTGAAGTGACTATTATCACAAAGTCCAGTTTGTCTGGGAGGCAAGATACATTGGAGTCTCTAAGGGGACTGGCTGTGACTCCATGGTAAGACTGGGATAGCGATCCAGGAATTCACATTTGTCACTGGCTTGGTGAAATCTAATTATAGAACCCACCGCCAGCGTGGGGTATGTCTGCCCTGTTTTCTGACAGTCTGACTCACCTTTGAGTTCGGTGTGTGTTGTGCATTATTGATACTGAAGTGTGTCTTTGGCCTCGAGCCACAGTGGCATTTAGGTATTATGACTCGGGCCCAACCAGATTCATGGCCATGAAAAATGTGTCACGGACTGTGAAATCAGACCTCCCCGGTGAAATCTAGCTATTGGAGGGGAGGGGAAGGGAATGGCAGGCTGTGGCGACCCAGCTGGGGGGCTTCTACTTGTCCCCGGTGCCAGCTGCTAGTCCCC